GCAACGAAAATATCAACGAATCGAGAGGCAAGTTTTTTTCTTTCTTTTATCGGTCACGAAATTGAGCCTGGCTATATTTTTAATAATATGTAACGTGAACTCAAAAACCTGGAGCATGCAGGACCGATCGGATACGTATTTGCTCATTTCGCATATTCTGTACGAGCGCAATTAACTTCGAGAGCGCGCAAAAGCAAAAATGTACACTCAGAAGTAATACTACATGTCACGAGAAGTGCGGACACGTATTGTCAAGTACTATTCTGTTGTTACATTCATTGACTAGCTTTACAGATCGTCTGTACAAAGATCGTCGAGTACATGTGTCCTCGCTCAAACACATCTCGAATAATAATATACGAGCATATCGCGCGCGCGCGCGCGCGCCGTTCGACATTTTTTCAAGTACGAACTGCCGATTATTAATACTGACTATTATTATCGAATGTACTTGAGACAAATAACATGTATACACGCGATAACGATTAATCCGACGTTGGCCGGGTCGGGCAAATCTCAATCGAATGATCCGAAAATATTTGGCCACACGTGAAGTGGCGGCGACAGCGACAGCGGCAACGGCGCGACACACGCAAGCATACATATGCGCATACAGAGACGGTGTACGATGCCGCGACGACGTCTCGCGGCGCGCAGACTTGCAATGCACGGCAATTTATCAGATTCGCAAGCTCGAAACTGAATAAGAGACGCGCGGCATTTATTTTCCAAGTGAATATAAAAAAAAATGTATACGAGACTGCCAACGCGTCTATTTCACTTATTTTTCTCGGCGCACATTATATGTACTCGTTTGTACGTGTGAGTATGGGTGTGTATGTAGCTTTATCGAGTCGCGCGATTAGCTTAGGCTATTATATATACAGCAAAAACATAATATACGCGCTTGAGATGCGATTTCGTGATAATGAGCCGCGATCGTTGCGAGTCTCCGTCTCTCTCTCTCTCTCTCTACCGAGCGCGGAAGTTTTTTTATCTCGTCCAGACACGCATTATGTATATGTATAGCCACATATACTCGAGAGGATGGTGCGATCGTCGTGTCTGGCCATCACCCCTTGCTGCCGTGTGCCACCTCTTTTGCCGGTCGCCGCTGCCGCCGCCGTCTTAACTTATCGTTATTGCTCTCCGCGAGAGTTACGCGCGCGCGTGAATACTCATTTAAAAGTTTGCGCTTTTTTCTCTCTCTCACATTTGTTTTTTACCGTTTATTAAAAGTCGAGCTCGTAACGTTACTCTCACGACTATGCGGAGGCAGTAAACTTAATTATATGCGCATGCATACTCTATTAGATTCTTAGATCGAGCTTTTTTTGTATAGTAATCCTACATGAGCTACCGTATTATACGCGGACCCATTCATACGTTGATAGTAAAAAATTTGAGCATTTTATAAAGCTTGTCATCGAGTTTTAAAAAATCGATATATTTTCAAAATCATTTATCGTACACATATATTATATGGGTATTGAAGCCGGCTGAAAAAGGTTTGAGAAAAAAGGGGAAAAGCTTGTTAGATCCTGCTGGTAAACGAGATAGAGATAAAGGGAAACATGCGTAATGACTATAGAGGTGTGCGAGCATTTCTCGATTTTTACTCGCCTCGAACGCCATAAGTCGGGTTAATTCGGATATTCAAATGTTTTGAGTACTTGTACGCTTTTTTCGAATACTCGTGCTTATTTCGAATATTTGAACTGTCTTAATTGCGATTTACTATACTTTTTTTAATTTATTTAAATGATATGGAAATTTTATAAATTTAATAATAATCAAAAAAAACGGGCAAAATATGCTTATCGTTTTCACGAACTTTGTCTGGTGCTACCAAGCAAATACAATATAAATCTTTGTTCTTCAGCAACTAGCTAAGGATTTTTTTCACAGCAGAGAATCTGCAGTTAATAGCGCTCGAAGAAAGAATCCAATGACCAGCTCCGAGAAAATCTTCTCGAACTCCCACACACGACATGCAATCGCCTATGATATAAATATTTGTTACATTTAATCAATTGCTGCAGCCGATGTGATTTATCTACCAGTTCACGCTACAGCGCGGTAACGCGTATTGACTATTCATGTGCACTGCGATCTATACAGTAAGTGAACATGTAGACGCAGCTTCAAGAGATACAATTAGTAGCTCGGGCTAAGCAGTATAGTGTAAATCGTAAATCCAACGTGACAGGGACCACCTGATGTACACACACATATGCAATAGTAATAACAATAGCACACATACAGACATTGGTCTCGTCCTTACTTCGCTGAAATTACACTTTCTTATCGTTTTCGAATTAAACGACTCCGAATTTATATTTACGTGACGTTACTCGTTGACGACAAGCAACCTGCGCGTGAGAAAGAAAGAGAATGACAGAGATGTACGCGATGAGCATATTAACGTCCACGGATCCACCACCTCACTTTCAATTGGCCCGCTAATTATGAGTATCGAGGGTGGAAATCCATCCGAGCCTCGGTTAGTTGGGTTATTAAAAAAATAATTTTGTAAGAAATAAAAAATATTTTTCGATAATTTTTTGAACAGCTCACAACAAAAATGAACTCTTGTCATGTTTTCCTCCTATGCAAATTTAACGAATTAACCCATTAACGCGCAAAAGTGCAATTTTGTGCATGAATTTTCCGTTGTAAAAAAATTATAGATAAAGTTAAAGTATTTTCTTGAAAATCTATACCCAGGGGTTTTTGAGTATGCTCTTTCAGTATCCGGTGTTATTTTTGCGATAAAAAAACACTATCATCGTTTATTTTGCCATTAAAAACAAAAAACGTGATTTTTTGACTCAAAATTTTTTTTCAAAGTCGATTTTCTACCTTGCCTTGCCTTCCGAGGGTCCCCATAACACCAGAAATCGTGCACTTTTTCTCTGAACCTTCGAAAAATGAGCTGCCGTGATTTTTATCTTGCCCCTATATTTCTAAAATGGCGAATTTATACCGAGCAGCGATATGAAAATTGCCTTATTTTTTATTTTTAAATTATTGACTTTATAAAAGAAAGTCATACAATGAAAAGTGTTCAAATTTGTTCAAAGAATACATGTGAATTTTTTTTAGAATTTTTTAATAATTTTTTTAGAATTTTTCAGATTTTTTTTGGAACATTTTGGATTTTTTCGACAGGCCGGGAAATGGTCGTATTTTGCAAAATTTTCAAAGTGGTCCGAAATATTCTGAAAAAATTCACGCTTATTCTCTAAATGATTTCAAATAAGTTTTTACACTCCAAATTGTACTTTGGAGTTCATATTTAGCGCATGTAAAATAGGTTCTGAGTAAAAAATGAGTGAATTTTTTATCCCGTTGCTTGGTATAAATTCGCCATTTTAGAAATATACGGGCAAGATAAAAATCGCGGCAGCGCATTTTTTGAAGGTTCAGAGAAAAAGTGCACGATTTCTGGTGTTATGGGAACCCTCCGAAGGCAAGGCAAGGTAGAAAATCGACTTTGAAAAAAAATTTTGAGTCAAAAAATCACGTTTTTTGTTTTTAATGGCAAAATAAACGATGATAGTGTTTATTTATCGCAAAAATAACACCGGATACTGAAAGAGCCTACCCAAAAACCCCTGGGTATGGATTTTCAAGAAAATATTTTAGTTTTATTTATAATTTTTTTACAACGGAAAATTCATGCACAAAATTGCACTTTTGCGCGTTAATGGGTTAAAACTAACTTTTTATGTAATAAATATTTTTTAATTGCCAACTCAGAAATCAAAAGAGCAAGTTATAATTTTCAAGATCACGCGATACAATTTTAAAAATTATAATTATTTTTTTCTACGATAACCACTTCCGGACGAATTCCTGAATAGCCCAGACCCAGTTTGAATGCATTGAAACAATTTTTCTTAAAAAACATTTTTTTTACCTATTCTTATATTTTGCTGCAAGAGCATTGGTAAACTCACGGCACGCAAAAAGTTCAGCAATCTCTGCACTAGCTCGTTTGTACGGGCTCACTCCTATACTGATGAGGTTTTACTAACAAAAATGGGTATTTCAAAAAATAGCAATGTCAACTGTACTTAAGAAATCGAAGAAAAATTCGTCGAGACATGACATATGGACCTATCGAATTTTCTGCACACACTAGTATAATGGAGGGCGCTAGCAGTAGGCAAATCTTTTTACTACAAGGACTGATTTTCTTATGTGACCGACATTTTGTAAAAACATCAAAAAATCGAAATGAATCAATCGTCATTAAGTTTATGACTCACGAAGGTAATAAGAGGTTTATGATTCAGTTCTTTTCTTAAAAAAAATCAGCTTCTTTGTATTTTTTTGTAAAGGATCAATAAAGGGTTATTGATGCTTCACTTACTTTTTGAATTTTGCAATATGATGATCAATGAAACATTGAACATTTTCATCTAGTAAACTCACAAACGTTAAACCTTACATAAATGTCATAGGCATTCAATAGTAACTAAAATGAATTTAATGTCAACAATCATCAACTTAGACACTTTAAAGTTTAAACTATCATCTAATAATTTTCTAATTTACAAAGAAACTTAAAATTTAACTTTGTTTTGATTTTAATATTTTTTCTTTAAAGCGTTGTATGAGAAGTTCTACAATTTTCTAATAAACTTATGTTCCCAAGATATTTCATGCATTAAGTTCATGAATGCACACATGAACTCTAAAAATCAAAGTCACTGTTTTTAAAATCAAATCTTCAACACTTTTACGACACTGTTTTTTGAATAATTTTACATTTGTTTTCTTTGATGAAATTATTTTATAATCAAAACATCAAATGCATTTAATGAAAGGATATTTTGTGCTTGAAACTTTGATATTGATAACAATTTGAAACTATAGCAGCAGAAAAAAATAGCACACCTGTGAAATGAAAATTAAGTTTGACAAGAACTCATTAAAAGAGACATGAATATAAAAATGTATAGAAAAAGGTATAAGTTAAATGAGTACTCCAGTTTTTGTGTTCAATAAAAATAATTTATGTATTAAATTAATCTTGAGTAGCATCAACATTTTCAGTTTGCAATCCTTTGAAGTTTGCAACTGGGATGTACGAGACGAGGGTGTAGAGCTTGTTTTGTGCTTCCTCATCGTCATTGCGCCTTCTGCTCAAACGTACTCTGATGCGGAAAGGTACATTTCTGAAAGATTAACATTTATAAATTAACAATATGGAAATGAACTTAGCATAAATAAACTCAATTAATGTAGTATTTGGTTGAATTGACTAAACAAAATGTTCACAAAAGGAGACTGGTCTAAATATCAGTTGCAATAGGACTCACTCGCCTCATTACTCTGGCTTTCAAGTTGTTCTCTACGATTAGAAATAAAGATCTTACCTGATGCCTTTGCTCCAGAGGGCTTTGTTGAGCCTGGTGTCAATTCTGACATCATCTGTTCCCATTTGCTTTTTGGCGAACAGGCGCAATTCTTTGATAGCACGTGGGGCACGTTTCTTGAACCCGACACCGTGCAACCTTTTGTGGAGATTGACGGTGTATTCCCTCGTTACCACATCATCGATGCGGGGTCCTTTCTTCTCACCGGACTTAGTGCGGGCCATTTTTACCGCTGAAATTAAAATTATAATAAATCAATTAATAATTACGTTCAAAGTTTAATTATTATCTGGTTAACCTAACAAAAGAGAACTGAACACTTTGAATACTTAATTAACAGAGAGTCTGACAGTATTTTAATAAAAGTGTCAACTAAGTAGTAAATATTATGATGTGAACACTTTTTACCATGAAATTAATAACAATAACAGTACTGTATGTAAAAAACAATTGAAAAATTACGCTACCTATTTGAACACCTCGAGATACTAAAAAGAGTGAAGCGGGGTTAAGGTCGTTTACATAGAGCCACGATGATGGCGGCGCGCGCAACTAATATCGACACAGTCGAGAAATGGCGCTGAAGTTAAAAAATTTGAAAAAAAAAAAAAATATTATAAGTACTTACCTTTAATTGATTAATTTTTTCCCCTCAAAATTATTACTGAAATATGCACAAAATTTACAGTAACTCGTAATAAACAGCAAAGTAAACATAACAGTAAAGTATGGTTAATTGTTGCCACTAATAAAATTAAATAATTATCATCTATTATTTCTATAAAAAAGTCTCATTAATGTATGCATAAAAACATTATAATTCTATATAAGATAAATAATATTTCTTAATATTTTCTGTATAATCTATTAAAAACTATTAATTTTTATGAACGCAGCTGTATACTTTTTATATTTTCCTTTCGTTACATATCTAAATGCACGAATATAAGTAAAAAATATATGATATATCTTTCGAAAAAATAAATATTCAACGTAAAAGTTGACTTGTTATTTTTTATTAAATTTATAGCCTGATATAGTGTCATCGGAATATAAATGCATTGTCATTTTAAGCGCATTGAAGTGTGATTACATTATAAATTCATTTCATTAGTAAATTTTTTATGATTTTTGGAATTATGAGAAATAAAAGTAATAGTCGCGCGTTGGATGTAGCTCGCATAAGAATTGATGAAGTGCGGCACTTCCCCGGACTGCTCACACGCGCATTGACATTCATGAATATAGATTTGATACGTCTTGCGGAGCTTTGTCGATGAGAGTCGAACAATAATTGAAAAATAATTTTTTTCTATTATTAAATACATGGTATACCTTGCATCGGGTCAGCTGAATTGTCATTACTTTCAACGATTTTTTCTATTGACGATTGCAGTTGTTTTTAACTTTACATGCGTCCAGACTCCAGAGATTACTCATGAAATTATTGTCTCTAGGCCAGGATAATCTACTCGCATATAAAAAGGGAGTAGGTAGTAGGTACTGGCTGTACCGTACTGGGGAAAAAGTTCGATTAACAATTGGAATGTTAAAACATCAGTACAATAACAATACTTTGAAGAACGAATTGAAGATTTTTCAAAAAATGTGTGAGTGCATAAATCTAAACTGAGTTTAAATGTTTCCAGAAAAATCGTACGCTCTTGCTTTGCTTCGATCACGTACTGCCTCTGATTATGTACCATCATTATGTGAGATTTAAGGTAAACTTTTAATCCAAGCGACTTGTGACAAATATCGCATGGGAAATATTCAATCCGATCATGTACTGTATTTATGTGTCTTTTGAGTTTGTTCTGATATCCGAATTTTTAATGGAAACTTTCACATTGACATGGTCCAATGCTCTTGTGCATGGCATGTGTATTTATACTGCTGAATTAACATCTCTCAAAAAGTATTTTGACTCGTCAAAGATCCCGGTAGTTTTAAAGAGATCGAAGACTACTCGTAAAGGCGCAAGTCGTAGTAGCGGCTTCGTACGCGGGGCATCGTCATCGGAGCAGCAACGCGTACGACGGTACGTAATGTGGCGCATACATATAAGATATTACACACCGTAGGCTAGTGGCTGCTGCTCGTGCACGTGCGCAGGTACCTTATATATTGCACAATGCGAGCCGCTTAAAGGTCTGTAGCTGAGGTATATATAGGGTGGAGCAGCCGCAGCAGCTTTTGCACGTATACAACACACAGTGAGACCGAGAGAGAGAAGGTAGCTACGTAGGACGGCAACTACGCTACATAAGCTCCGCGCGGCGATGCTGCGTTCGATAAGGTGCAGGTACCCTACGCACACGTTTTGTGCCTCGTGGTGCAGCAGTCGCGCGCCACAGAGAGTAGTTCTGGCCCTCCGGCCCTCTTCCGTTCCTGCACATACACGCGCACATACACTCACGGCGCAATGTATATAATCTGCCGCTACTGCAGTGTCGCCGATGCCGCGCTCTCTTACATGTATGCATTATGGATGCTATAGACGTGCATACACAACATAGAGAAAAAGGGAGAGAGAGAGAGAGAGAGAGTACCGTAGACAACGACGAGCCAAGCTATCCTTTCTCGGAGCTACTATATATCTATATGTAACGACGTTGTGGTCGTCATCGTCGTCGTCGTCGTCGTCGTCGTAGCCGTCATAAAGTGCATATAATATAAACTCGTGCACACGCCTCGTGCTATATAATCGACGTTATATGCGCGGGATTTAACGCTGCAGATACGCGTGTAAGTCAAGGCTTTATAGTGTGTATACGCTGTACATGTATTTATATACCGGGCCAAGAGCAGAGTATATACGTTGCATCGTCAAAGATGACCGATAGCGCGCAAGGGGCGGATGAATTTGCTGCTGCTGCTGCTTTTTCCCCCAGTCTTGGATATGGGACCGATTTTTCAGACAAGCGCGCGCAGTTTTTGATTGCATATTTTTCTCTATTTTATATTTATATTTTATTTGTTATTTATTAACTTATAAGCCGCTGAAAACGGCTTTTGTGTCGCTCCGAAATGAAATAACGAATTTTCATCAACTTATAGGATATGATGTTTTAATAACGTGACAATTAATAATGTGCTTTGTTTTCCTAAAAAAATTTATTACTTTCTTTTACAGCTTAAACATTGTTTTTACATAATGAGATGAAATTGGAGGGAATCATCATGTAAATTGTTAAGTTAATCTCGTATGTACACTAGTTTTCTAGTACATTTTGTTAATTTGTGATACGTAAGTGATGTATCTTATTGATGCGGGTTTTTACATAATCCTTTCGCATAAATGTTTTTCCACATATAAGTAATTCCTCCTTACTTTTAAAATCGGACCAACTCGCGTATAACTCAGATTATTTATGTCAAACACCCTTGAAAATTTATTCAAGTCTTTATTGGACATTTTTAGGCATATAACTATTTTATAAAAATATTCTATAAAAGTCTTCCGAGTCTGGTGCAGTTGGAAATATATTTTACTCTTATGACCAAAATTGTACTTTTAACAAAAAAAAATTTGTTATTAGCTGTACAAAAGAAAACGATCATTGTATTGACTTGAAATTTTCAAAAGTTCTTCATTTTTTAATTTACTTTCGAAAAATTTATTTTAGAAAAAGGTATAGTTATTTTTTGAAACCTTTTTAAGACGTTTTCTGAACGAAGTAAATGTTTTCAAAAAAGAGTTTCTCGCATATTTTACGTATATCTTGTAAAAGACGATTCATTTTTTGTACGTAGTTGTCTAGGTAATATTTTTTTATACGCGAACCAGTATGTGTCTTTGAAATTGACTACCCTGTACGTGATTTAAAATTTGTAAGCGGTGCGGTAAATCACTAAGCAAATTCTAATAAAAAATGTATTTTTTTTTACACGTTAAAAATTTTAAAAATGGCAATTTTAAAAAAAGGAGTAACGGCCTTTTTTCAGTTAAAATATTTTCCTAAACAACAAGAAAAATCCATACTTAGCAGGAAATGCCTACATTTTTGTGTTAATTTTTTTAGAATACTTATTTTAAATGTATAGAGGAATTACTCATATGCCACGAATACGTTAGGCATCGCATTGATTTGATTTTTGAGATATTTCTCGTGTGTAAATGACTTTCTACATACATCATATGTACCTATGATACCATTGTGCACCCTACTAAGGTGCCTCTGAAGACTAGATTTGCGAGTGTATTTATTACCGCAAATATCACATTTTTGTGTAACGCCACTATGCTTCGCAACAATGTGAACTTTGAGACTACTTTTCTCTGTAAATTTTTTTCCGCAAGTATCACATGAATGTTTACTATTATGCACCCAATCGATGTGTGCTTTCAGATTACTCTTTCGTGGAAATACCTTTGCGCAAATACCACATGTATATTTGATATCATTATGAATCGCATCTATGTGGGTCTTGAAACTGCTCTTATGTTTGAATGTCTTTCCACAAATATCACATACATGAGTGATACTATAGTGCGACGTATCGATGTGGACTTTGAGATGACCTTTTTGTGTAAATGTCTTGCCACATATATCACACGTATGGGTAATATTATCGTGCATCGAATCGATGTGTCTTTTGAGATTTTCTTTTAGTGAAAATGTCTTGCCACATACATCACATGAGTGGGTAATACGAAGATGCGATGATTCTACATGCTTTTTCAGATTACCCTTACTTGAAAATTTCTTTCCGCAAACTTCACATGCGTAGGTTGTATCGCTATGCCCTGCAACAATGTGTGATTTGGGTCTATATTCGTTTTTAAACTTTTTTGCGATTCTTCTTTTTTTATTTTGTTTGATAGAATCATAGTCGAGATTCAAATTCAATTTATCAGCATCGTCATTAAAATATTCCTGTTTAACTTCATCTATGGGTTCTATATTAATTATGTTTTCAGTTTTACAATCATCGCTCCATCGTAAATTTTGCAAGTGATTTTGAAAATCATTATTAATTTTTTGAACTTTTAATGAACTAATGTTGGGCTTGACGTCTTCACATTCAGCAACGATTTCCACGTTCTCATCAAATTCACTTTTATGATTCAAGTCACATTTTCGAAGGGTATCGAACTGTCGAAAAATCAAAACTATGTTAGAATTATCATAAAAAATTACTAAAATGCGAGTTAAGTATACTAACATTTACTGAATTTTCTCGCAGATACGGTAAGGGTTGGAAGGTTTCAAGATTGGGTTTTTCGTCTATCATTCCATAATTATTTTCGATCAGCGATACATCAAAAGGTTCTTCTTTCACTCTGAAATAACCTCAATAAGATCAAGTTTTTCGTAATAATATCTTTACAATTTCATTCTCAAAAACTTTACCGAAATTCTCAATTTAATTAAATTCTCAAAAAATTACCTGAAAGCACAATTGAGAAAGTCACTGGATTCCATAATTTTGGCATGGAATTGTGTTAAAAATTAATCTTTCTGTAATGATCCAACTAACTTTACGGTAAAACTGATGAAGAACATAGAACTGAGCTCGTTCTAATGTTTACGTCGTGTGTGGCAGGAATGACCTGTCCGTGTGTTGATTGGCACGCGGTATTTTGTCGCGTTTGCAGTAAGCGCTACGTTGAGAACGAGTAGAATTGAAAATAAGTCTTTATAATTATACGATTGAAGAAATGACGTAATATATATCACATCTAATGAATAGTAAAGATTTTTCTATCAAATATATATCATAACGGAAAAAATAAGAAATTAAAAAGTCTGCGGCACCCCCAGAAAAAGCTATTATTATTATTATTATTATTATTATTATTATTATTATTATGATTATTATTTCATACTTACGGTAGCGAGTAAAAGGATCGACCAAGCGATCGCAAGCCTCTCCGAGAGCTGATTATATTTTCCAAACAGCAGCGATTAGACCAGGCTATGTATACGCGACGATATCGCGACGAATCGCCGCAGAGAAAATAGTTGCACTACTGCACGTGTCGGTCTGCTGTATTAACTGCAGCTTTACACAGCGGCATAAGGTGGTATACATATACGCGGCACGTCTCGCCGCTACGTTAAACACCCTTGCGCTATATATATACCTCATGTACTTATAACAACAAGCCCCCGAGAGTCGATCGTTGTACACGTAATTCTTATCGCGTGCCGCACGCGTAAACGTTCCAGCTATATACCACTATACATTATGCTTGTATACTGCTGCTGCTACTACTACTTATCGTAGTACTTTTTTTGTCAATTTTCCAGGACGGAACGATAAATGAAAGAGACGCGACGAGGATACAAAATGCTGACACTGACCTCGCGCAGATCGCGTCTTTCATCGTACGGGTTCGGCTCGTATATTATTTACAATTTATTAACCGACCTTGGGTTGAGATCCCGTCTGGCCGCTCGCGAGGCGAGCTTCGTCGTTAGCTCGAAAATCCCTTAGAGATTCAAACTCGCTCGCGCGCGCTTATGAAATTCCCTCACTCGGTTGTAGCGTGTATCGTTGCCGAGGAATGCAGAGTCCATGTCACATCCACGTAATAATTAACTGCGCATAAATAATAATACACACACACGTTGCGTGCGATATTAAGGAGCGAGAGAAAAGTTTTACGCACAAACTCACGTGAGGTGCGTATAGTTGGTGCAATATAGTAATAGTAACTGCACACATGGGCACGAAGATAAGATCGTTAACGCTCGTTCGCAGTCACGAGTGGCATATATACGCATAATATACGAGAGAGCCACGAGGTTGACAATCTTCACGATATAAAATGAATGATTATGGCGCGTAACGTACAATATCGTATTCCACGAATAAGAGAGGCGTATACGGGGTGTATCACCGGTGAGAGTTTGACAAATATTCGCGCGCACGGCTCGTCCGCAGAAGCTATGTATATAAGGGCATTTATATAAGCTATATACGCGAGATAGGTCTGTATTTTCGTGCGCGAAAGAGAAGACACGAGATCGACATTCGAGTGTATATGCGCACAGTCCGCACAGTAGCGGCTGTGCGGCAAAAGCACACGAGGCAACCGAGTATAATCGCCTCTCTAAAAATATGTATTTTATCCTATATATCGCGCGCGTATTATATAGACGTTGAGCTCCACTTCGGTCGAGAAGTTTATCCAGGCGCAAAAACGACCCAGAGTGAGAGAGCTCGAGAAAGAGAAGAAAAGTACGCAGCCAAGCGGGTGCAGCTGTTGTCTTCAATCTTCGCTTCAAATAATGCATCCCAAAACTTCAACATCTCTCTCTCTTCGGGGCTCGAGAATTTCTGTGTCTACGAGAAAACACGTTTGCGTCAGTATATCGCGTATACACAGACGCAAGCATAAACGCTATAGGGAGAGATATTTTGCTGTAAATTTTGCAACCATATAGTCGCAAGAAAGATAAGCTCCTCGCCACGCTGCAACTAACTATATGGCAAAAAGAAGGAAGACGACGACGACGACGATGACGACGAAGAATGAAGTAGAGGCAGAATAGTAGGTAGTAGCAGTAGCAAAAGAAGAAAATGAAAACAAAGTCAGCGTGAGCATAGGCAAAAGGAGGAGGAAGAGGGAGTGCAGTGTACCTCGAGCTCGGCGTACTACACGCGGCTGCTATATACCTATCCTATGTAGTAAACTGTGCAGCGTGTGTACGGCCAGAGCAGCGATGCACACACACAAACACACATATAGTCGCAGCTAAATGATGCGGCAGAGTTCGTTGGCACGCCAAAGCCAGAAAGGCAAAGAGAGAGAGAGAGAGATAGAGAGGGAAAGAGAGAAAGAAAAGCTTCCATACACGTATACATAGGCAGCCGCGTACACGCTCACGCAGCTCTCTTGCAAGAGAAAAAGAGAGAGAGAGAGAGCTGCAAAAGATAGGATGATGCGTGCGGGCGTGCAGTGCACGTAGTACCTCCGCGTGTACACACGCAGTGCCTATGCATGTATATTGCAGTTTTCTTGCGTACGCGTCCGTATCGTACTACTACGACGACGACGACGATGACAAGCTGTGCGCTGCGCGCACTGCACTCGGTCTCTACGCTATACAGGCCCTACACACACACACATACATACAGTGTATAATACACGCTTATTATTATACACAAGCATACATATACGTTGCAGGCTATTACTGGTGTTTTCGCGCTCGAGTGCTGCCCTGCACTGCTGCTGCTGCTGCTGCACACACCGTGCGATGCGCTACGATGCAGCCGCGCGTATTCGCAGCAAAAGGGTCGTCGCGAGCGGTGACAATGATGCGCGCGGAGCGCAGCTATTATAATGCCTGCTGGGCGCGAGTTGGAAAACCGAGGCTATAAGGGCCGGCCGGCCCGTGGCGTATACACGTTTTTGCCTACGTACATATCTCTATCTTTTACTCCTCTCTCGCTCGTGCGCATATATTTATTTCGAGCTTACTTCGTTTATTTCTCTGTTTATCCCGTTTTCGCTCCGAGTTTTCGCAAATACATTAATATGTATTATAACACGGTACGATTGCGGGCCGCGCACCGCTCCTTTTTAAATAACAAATATTTTTCATCGTTGTTCGCTCGCGCCACGATTGATCGAAGCTCTAATTCTAATTGACTATGTAGAATAACGTTTATGCAAAAGTAGCGTAATATAGCACAAGCTCTATTAGATCATCGAGATATATCATTACATGTATCTCGAGCAGCGTCGTCGTCGACGTCGTATTATGCATTTGCGGTTGCGTGAGATTCTCTCTTATGTACATTATGCTCGAGTGTCGACCGCAAACATCGTCGGAAGCTTGTGCGCGCGGCAGTTAAAAACCATTTCACGGCGGAGCTCCGAATGGCTTAATAAAATCGGCATTTATGCACATCGGTAGCGGCAATAGCAGATGCTGTAAAACAGAAGCCGCAAAGCTCGACGATCGTCGCCGTATAATAAATGCGACAAGCGCAAATCGCCGACGATACTTTCAAAAATCTTTTGCTGTTACATTTATTCGCTTTTGCTTCAGCCAGTTGATTTTTTTCGATATGATACGAAATACGCATGCGACATTTAATAAATACTATAGCACTTTTCAGGGCAAAACAACCATAGCTGTGCTCAATGGAGTCATTACTTTTTTTAAGAGCGAAAAACAAAGGTCAATATTGTTAAATTATCGACGCGACTGTCGTGATTATTTTACCATCGCTTACAGCGATTAGCTCCATTAACTAATCGAACTACATTTCTAACATCACGTATATAATACCATGATGTACTATATACATTTGCCATATATTTTTCTATTATGTATTATGTAAATGTTTCTATGCATCGAGCATTTGTGTGAGCTAATTTTGAACCTGGACGAATAATATTTTTTTTGCACCTTTGATAAAATTCTGATGACATGCGAGTGCCTAATATACGAGTAGTGAGTTAAATCGCCGGCGAAGAGCGAAATTCCTGAGTGATTAAGTGTTTACAAATTGGTAAAATCGAGGTACAGTGTTGACTGCTCGAGGCGTATTAACCTCAAATATTTTCTTGGAAGTATTTCGTTTGAATTCACAGTGATACTCATAATTGAGCGAGCGATGAAAAAAAGAGAGGATAAAATCAGGTATAACATTATTTCGCATGCCATGATATTTTTTTAAGCGATTGTGTCATTTAATTTGATTATTCTATAGAATGAAAGAAGAGCCGAAATATACGTGGCCAGATGAAGGTGACAATAGTAATTTTGATTCGGTGAATTCTTATGACGCCAAAACCTTTACAACGTTTAATCAATCATCAGTGAGTTTAATTAGTTCAAATATGTTCGATTTTTCCATTTTAAAAAATTATTATACAATTTTAATTTCAGACAAATTACATAAATGAGGTTATGCCGTTAAGGGAAAAGTTAGAGGAGAATATAGCCGTAGATTTCGAGTGCAAATATCTTAATCCTGAACTGAGGTCGTTAAAGAAAATTTTCTGCAAAACTGAATCTCAGAATTGCTTACCTATTGCGAAGATAGAAAATCAAATTCTGACAAATTACTTGAATGAAAAAAGGCTAATAATTTTAGTGAAAAAAGGATTCGATTACGATAATTTTTGTCCATTTCAAGAAAAGTCTCGATTAAAGCTTGACGCCCATGAAGAGGTGAAAATCAATTTGATGCAAAAGGGAATTATACCAGATGAATGTAAAATTTGTCATAAATCATTTACGTTCAAATGTGACCTCAGTAAGCACACAAAAGCAGTACACGATCGGAGCAACCCCTACGAATGTACAATATGTCATAAATCATTTGGTCGAAAATCAAACCTTGAACATCATGTGAACGCAGTACATCATCGAATCAAACCCTTCAAGTGTGGCATTTGCCACAAATCATTTGGATACAAAAGCGACCTGAAAAAACACATAAATAGAGTACATGATCGTAGTAAACCCTTCGAATGTGATATTTGTCATAAATCATTTGGCCACAAAGATCACCTTAAATCTCACTTAACTGCAGTACATTATTTTAGCAAACCCTTCGAATGTGATATTTGTTATAAATCATTTGGACATAAAAGTAACCTGAAAAAGCACATCAATACAGTACATAATCGCAGTAAACCCTTTGAATGTGAAATTTGTCACAAATCATTTGGACAAAAAAGTTCTCTCAAAGTTCACGTTAATTCAGTACACGATCGGAGCAAACCCTACGAATGTACAATATGTCATAAATCATTTGATCAAAAACCAAACCTTGAATACCATGTAAACGCAGCACATAATCGGAAAAAAGCCTTCGAATGTGATATTTGCCAAAAATCATTTGGATACAAAAGTGACCTCAAAAAACACATAAATGGAGTACATGATCGTAGTAAACCCTTCGAGTGTGGGATTTGTCACAAATCATTTGGAAACAAGAGTAATCTTGAAAGGCACATTAATGGAGTACATGATCGTAGTAAACCCTTCGAATGTGATATTTGTCACAAATCATTTGGCCGCAAGGACCACCTCAAATCTCACATAATTAGAATACATATCATAGCAAATTCTTCAAATTCTAGGTTAGTCGTAAATTATTTGAATTACAAAAGGATCTGAAAAAGCACATAAATGCGACCATTAAAATTTTTTAATGTAATTTTAGAAAATCTTTCGAGTATATATACTGTTATTTATTTTGTCTCTACTGTAAAAAAAACCTGTTACTCGCCTTTCATTCATAAACTAAAATGTAAACAACATTTTGTCCTAAATTTGTTCATCAAGGTATTGCTGTTAAACCGATTTTTCAATAGTCCAGTTATCACTTAAATTTTTTCCCAACCTGTTCCCCATAAAATGCGAGTAGATAATCCTAACCTTGAAACAATAATTATTCATTGAAATCTCAAAAATTAGTTTGCATTTGTTGTTAGACTACAATCGACTACGTACATGAAGTACATAACCACGTTGTGCCCTATCCAGTGCGACGATAATTTCGTCGTAGACAAGAAATTATAATAATTTTAGTAATGAAGGATATATAACATAGCTATACAAACTGCTACGAAGTTAGAATTTTAAATTGTTTCAAAAATTGTAAGAATAATGTATAATCAGATAAATCTATGTCTTAATTGTAAACAATATGCTCATTATTGATTTTGACATACTTCCTCGACACACTCATCATGTTTACAGTTAAAACAAATTAGTTTGAATGTTGTCTGTTCCGATGGAACAAGCCTGAAGGCGAAAAGATAAATTTTACTCAATCAATTTCCGTGACATTTAATTAAAGGATTCATCGTTTCATTGAGGCACTAAAATGGATCAAAGTGAAATAAAATACGAGAAAGTTGCCTCGGAAAATAATTTAAGTGAACACAGAAATATTGTATCGAAAGATAAAAAATATGTTTGTAAAATTTGTGAGAAAGATTTGTCAGAAAGATTTGTCAGAAGGATGTGATGTGTGCGACAAAAAATTTGAGCAACGAAGCCATTTGATAAAATACCAAAAAACAGTACACGAAGTTAGTACAGATACGCAATAAGTGCGGAAATTATACACGAGAATTCATCGAATTTGAGTTGACACCGAAAAAATACATAAAATTAACAAAATTAACAAAATTACCACTGCCACTTCATTAAGTCTTGAACTTACCGAAAAATGCGGGGCCATGGTGAATGCTAAATTATAGAATATATTGCCTCTCGGTATATATCGGATCAAGTTAAATAGTAGTTTCTCTCCAATAAAGTTTTATTAGAGCTAATTTTTTTTTTACATAATTAAACGTCTTCACTGGTATGGTATAACCATATTTATCGCGATAATACTTTTTTTCAATTGTTTGTTTTGTAATTAACACTTATTACTTATCCATCAAAACGCTGAACATATTAACCTTTAAAAGTACATATGAACAAGCCCGTGATTCGTAATGAATGAATCGTTTTTCCCATAATCACAAATATGCGCAAATGTATCCATTTGTTCGTAAGATGATAATCAAGTTTTTATAATATTTTATTATTTATACGAGCAGCTCGAATTTTTTGTCTCTGAATAATTCCTCAGAGAATAATAGCTTGCTTTTCATAAGTGACATAATGAAAAGCGCTAATTTTTTTTTCTTAACAAGTGTAAATATGTATTGATACTTATACAGATGTTATTCTAAAATTTTAATAAAAATTGTGTCAATATGACTGTGTTTTACCCAAACCTCATGATATGAACTATCACTACACCTCGGTTCATTGTGTTGATCGGTGTTAATTTTGAAATCAGACGAAATATCTTACTGGAAAACTAACTGAGAAACTTTAATGCTTCAAACCAAAAAATGTTTTCTACGTTCTTCAAAATTATTAGAAGCTTCCATAATTATTTTATCCTACTTCCAAGTGTTTTTATTGTTTAAAAATTTTATTTTAAAATTTCTACTTTAATTTCTAAATTTTCAAAAACCGACCGCCTCAACTGAGCTGAAGAAAAATGTTTGCATAAGGGCGGCACTTTTTCTAATCTACCACTGACCGTATGAATCGTAACAGCTGAATCTCTTTCGATGTGTTTATACGAGCGTGAGTGTGCGTGTTGGTGTGTGTGCGTGTGTGCATGCACAATATGCTGGCGATCGAATCCAGCGAGATGTATAATATGCACGCGGAGTGACAGTGAGCAGAGATACGTTATGCATACACATACACTATATAGACGTAAACACACGTGCCGCGCTCGAGATGATCAGGTTTTCGCTGCGCTCATGCTGTAGCAGGTTTTTCGCGCGCAGCCGATACACAGCTGCTGGCCCATTTATAGCGCGATATGGGTGTACGCGTTTGACGTGTATGTGTACGTATATATGTAGTTTTGCACTGCGTTGGCGTGCAGAAATTAAAGAAAAGCAAAAAAGAATCGCAGTGCAGCTACAGCCGCTGCCCCACACACACACGCACATGTTTGCGTTGTATACGCGAGACTAGTTTTTGACGCGCGTTACGTGTACGCGTAGTTCCGCACTTGATTGATGATACGCGCCGCACTGGGGGTGTGGTTCGCTTCATTAATATACGGTCACGCTCGTGCGTATCCATAACTATCCGTATTTCTCTATACATACATGCAGTTTCTCGGAAGAATTTGTTTGTCCCCCGCGCGCGAACAAGCCGCGATAGCGAACAACAAAACTACCCTGTCTCTCCCACAACAGAGCTCTCGATTGATTTGGCCGTTTTGCCGAGCTGTCGTGTTCTCTGGATGTACAATATAAATAATAAAATGAGGCACATCGGGCGCGCGAGGATAATAATTGTTTCTGAATCGCTTCTTGTGCGCGGCTATACAACAGCGAAGAAAAACTCTTGGCCATGATGTGCAGCTCTTGCGCTGGGGCTTTTCTTTTACTATATGTACTACCCGTCGAGAAGCGGCGATATCGCGGCCGGCTATACGTAAGATAAGGATTGATCAGCTGTGACGGCGCCAGAAGGCGTATGCTGCTATGCACGCTTCTCTCTATCTCTTTCCCTTTTAGCAAGTAAAAGAAGGTTTTCTTTTTGCAACAAACAACAACAACAACAACAACAACAACGACGACGACAAAAAGGATAAAGTGGAGAATCATCCTCCGCCTCCTTCTATGTGCACTTATAGGGAAGAGCTGGGGAAATCCCGGCGTATTATACGTACTCTCCGCGCGACGTCGAACGTTTCAGCTTCAGCTCTAGTACATAAGTCGGACAAAAGGATGAAAAATGTTTTATTCAACTTGTCGTGTATTAAAATTGCTTATGTACGTATCATCATAATCATCATGGTCGTAGTGAAGCCCTGCGTCCAGGTTTTACCTATTTATGCGACTGTATGTGCGGGGTGTGTATATAGTTAAATCATATATCTAAAAGTAGTTTTCTCTCGCGACGCGCATACAGAAGCAGCATCAGGTCGGTGCAATCTCGCGTATATAATGCACGCAACGAGTAAGATGCCGGCTAAGATTGATGACTCCAACATGCGGCCCACGAAAGAGGAGGGAATAGGGAGGCAGTCTCGAAATGTTTCAAGAGCTCGTTAACGCACGAGGACTTTTACACGTTTTATTTATAATAAATATTATTATCGCCGAGTATCGTGTAGAATTGTTAGAATTGAGTCTTGTTCACCATAACACCCATGGACGCATTTATGCATCGCATCTCTATATAATATGCTCATAACTTGATATTATGCCCTAACTCGGACTCGTACTGCGAGGACAATGCGTACATTTTGTATTATTGGCTATAAATCTATTTTTGCTCTCGATTTTTATCGATACAGGATATCCCGCGCTGTTGTGACGGGGGAATGTAAAACCGGTGGCCGTTTTGCCGCGACTGTTGTGTCTACTGCCCGCTGCACACATTTTATATTTTATCCTCTATCGCGCGATCGTACATTAATATGCGTTATCACACTTACGTTCGAATCGTTTGCAGAGAAATATAGAGAGAGAATAGTAATATGGCAACAGCAGATCGTACTTTGTTCGATTCTACTCGAAAGATATAAATGATGCCGAATCCAAAACAAATACGTTCGATTCGTAGTAACCGGCAAATATAAATTTCGCTTACCTGCGGGTAGTTTTTGAATTTTCTACCTTTCTTTTTTTGGTCCAAGCAGGATTTTGCAGCGAAACACTGATATCGCAGATACTTTGAACAATTTAGTACACTGGTCGTTGATTTGCCACAAAACAATAAAAACGATCACTGACATCACTCGAATTATTATAACTGACCGTTCGTTGTAGCTGCTCCGAAACAGATTTTACAAACAGCAAAAAACCCGTACTATTGTTGCAACGAAGAACGAACATAATGTTTAATATTAAAAAGAACAGAATGTCGCGTTGAAAACAAATAAAAAACGGAGCAAGCGAGGCAGCGGTTATACGGAGCGCGGGCTCGTCAGTCGTCACCGGCGCAAAAACGTTCTCACACTGCAGCCCGACGCCATCTATGGTACAACGGCCTCGAACTCTTCACACTCATAACTGACGCGGAGCGGTGCGATTTTGGCGGTCGTCGGTACACGACTCGCTGCTCGGCAGCGCTACCTACCCGACCTCGAGCGAGATATCGAAATTTGAAATATATCTTGGGGAAACGTTCTGCAGAGCGCGCCTCCGTCCAGTGGTGCATCGCGGTCAAAAATGTACATACGTAGAATACGAAATAAGCGGCGGGGCGGGGGTGCGGGGGATCGACTGTAAGTACTGCTAACCGTAACGTCGCTTCTTTGCAGGCAAGCAAAACTTTGTTGTACATCCATAACCTCCCTACAGCGCTGCTGCTGCTGTATAAGCCGTATACAATATACTACTTTTTGTATAAAACACATTCGCCGCAGCAGCCTTAGTCATGTTGTAGCAGCTCGTCGTAAATCCGCCGCCACCGTCTCGAGGCAGAGTGCGTGAAACGCTTCTCCGACCGACGACTACCTGTGATACATTCGACATATATATTCTCGTGTGTGTGCACAACAAACGCACACGGCTCGTCGCGAGAGTAGATAGCAGTAAAAACAGTGGAAGAAGAAGAAGAAGTAGCAGCGAGAAAAGTGTGTGCGCGGATTATGTCGTATCTATCGGGACGGTGAATACACGAGCTTGTGCTGCAACTCGCCGGAGTGCGTCAAACTCTCATGGTACTTTAATAGCCCGTATACAGAGTGAGAGAGAAGGAAGGAAATTATCGGGAAAGCTGTGTGCTGCCACCGCCGGTTTGTGATTCCGTTGCTGCTACTGCTCCTATTAAACAATTGCCTGTGCTGTATAAAGCCTATACATGCATCTGCAGTTTTATTGAAACTAGCTGTGCAACCTGTGATACGCGTTGTATTTTCTATTATATGTGCCAGTGCAGTGCCTTTGCAGTTGTTCCTTTTTTTCTATCGGTGCACGCGTCCACGTGCATAGCCCTTTGAATCTTTGTAACGACAGGCTAAAAGTGCAACGTCTTCTACATTAATTTACATTTGCCTAAAGGAGTTCGAGTATTTTTTCTCATTGTTCCTATTGGCTGCGTGTGTATGTGCATAATATAATCGCAAGCGTCGTCGTGCCAAGCTCGTAGCGTCGGTGCAGGCGGCCTATAATCACCTGTGGTATATCGCGGACTCCGAGGATTGGCTTTGCAGCGGTCAGCCCGAACTACAAGGCGCTTTTATGTCATTGTTTTTGGAGCCGTATGGTGAGTCAAGCGACATGAATCTCTCTCTTTTTCGCTCTCTTGCACGCGCATTCCGCTCTCGGGGCGCCTTCACCTTTAATCATCGTCGTCGTCGTCGTATTCGTCACACACTACATACACACAAGCATGCTCGCACACGAACGCAGCGTTTGTACCGACTCGTATACATGAAACTCGAAACAGTATAATATAACAGTCGAATCGTTATTAGATGCGCTTGATGGAAGTAGCCTGCATAAATACGTTTGCGTATATCATACGAGAGAAGAGCCGTATGTGCCACTCGACGCGCGTCTATATGTATAATATAATATAAACATAATAATAACGATATTGTGACCGGACGCGTCCGCATTGACAGGCTCGTCCGTCTATTTACGATATGTTTTGATGGTCGTTGCACTCGTTCAACTTCTTCTTCCGCGTCGAGCCGTCCGTCCGTCCGCCGAGTCTGCTCCGTATATATATAATACGCGAGAGAGCCACATGCGCGACCTAAATGGATTAACGCCGTTTATGCAATGGCTCTCTCGCCCTTGTCTATATTGCACTCGTGTGCGCGCGTGTACTCGTTGCGTCCCTCGACTGCATCACGTACGTATTATAACAAGATTTCTCCGACCGATGATGTCTCTTTTTTTCTTTCTGTCTTTCTTCACGCTGATAGTGCACCGATTCAGTGAGCGAATAAAGCTCTCGTGCTCAGTGTTGCTGTCGCTGTCGCCAATTGTCCAAAAAACAAACGCGATTCGAGAGAGAGATATGCAGCAGTTCGTCATGTTTTGCTTATGTCATGCATCGATTGATTTCTTTTACGAGCCGATGTCACGTATAAGCGTTGGTAATATATATATCGTGGCACGCACACTTTTCGCGGTGCCATGC